GGTTTTGAATAGGTTGGGCGCTGCTCGCTGAGAATTTTGCTCCGGGCCACGCAGGGTTTTTCTTCAGGTGCGCCATTAATAAACTTTAGCACAGAACACCGACACCGCGTGATTTCTGTGTGTGTGGGGAGAGCGTAGGTGTGGTGTGAGTACATGCGTACACGTGAAGCGCGCGTGTATTCAATCATAAACGATCGCTGACGTTCACGTGCGTGTTTACATAGCGCGTTTTACGCAGTGTGTTCACGTAGCGACCATAGCACTCGGCTGTGGAACACGCTAATATTATCGTCAACCCGGCCGTCGTTTTTTCCCGTGCCCGCGTGCGTGTTTGCACGGCGGATTTAAGCCGACCAAACAGGAGGTGGGGAGGGACGCGTGCATATTCATACGGCTATTTTTAGCGTGAGCAGTGGCGAGCAACCTGTGCAGGCACGTGCGAGCACGCAACCACCTCCGGACATTTGGGGTAGTGTACGTGGGGAGTGTGTGGGATAACTCCAGGCGTGGTGAGCAGCATGCATCTGCACGGGCACGCGCGTGCAAGTAGCCACTTCGGCATTAGTGGTGGTGTACGTGGGGAGTGTGTGGGATAACCCCAGTCGGTGGGGAGCCAGCCACTAGCCATGTCCCACAGAGAGGACGCTGGTGCGGGGAGGCCAATCACCTGATCGTCGGCAGTCCGGCGAAAAGGGGCGGAGGAGGAGGGAGGAGAGGAGGAGGGGGGCGTTAGCCCCCACAGTTCATTTGCCATCTCAGTCAGCCAACCCATGGCACCTGTGTCTGTCTCACGTGGCCCAAAGTGCATCTAGCATGGCAAAAGCACTGTGGTGATGTCACTGCCACTTAGTGACTAATGGCGGCGGTTGTTGTTGGTCTGTCTCAGTGCTATGTTGTCTCTGTGGAAGCTGAGTGTCACAGCGGGATGTGCTGTGTCTCAGTGCTATGCTGTCTTTGTGGAAGCTGTGAGTGTCAAATTGTCCCACCGATGTCCCGCAGCCAAATTCACCCAAACTCATCTCAAGCTGCCGACAGACTTGGAGCCACTGCTGTCGTCCTTCCCGGTTCCCTGTGGCTGCGCCTCCACACCCGCGGGGTGCACGCGGGGTGCACATGGGGTGCACGCGGGGTGCGCAGCCTTCAGCTGCACGGTCACCACCGAGGCGATTGGCAAGCAGGACCCACGGTCCAGTGCCAACACACACTGGGCACTGGTGACACGTCACGGAATGACAAAGTATTTCAAGACCCGCACGGTCACTAGGCATAAGAATGACCTTGCTGGGCACAAATAAAACGTGGCATTTTACCTTAACTTTGCTTTGTCTCTAAGCCGTCCGTAACATTTCTGGTTATTTGCCTTTTTATGAGCGTCATGTAAACAATGATGTAGTGTAGATATAGTTATGCCATTTTAGCATGTTCCCTTTATAGCAAACTAGACCAGAGCTGCCCAAACCTTGGCCCCAGCACAAACGAAATCTGGCCGGCCAACTCACTGACTGTGGCCACCCAAGTCGAAGAGAAGCAAGCGACCTGCGTCACAAGAAGAGCATCTGGAGGCATTGAGGCCCCCATGTGGGGCAGCGCGAGGGCCCTGCAGGGACACGGCGCGTGGAGTGCAGCTCAGTGGGGCTGCAGCCTCGCGCCTCGCCTCTCCAGCTTGTCCCCAGAGTCTCCTCTCTGTGCACCCCTCTCCTATTGCTCCCTCATTCGCATTGTCACCATAGGGCAATGAAACCAAATCCATTGTTGTACTGTACTGTGGTACATGCTCTATGATCCCTGCTTTCAATCTACAAATGGCTGTACATACTCTCTTGTCCACCTCCTGAACACAGCTCCATCCTCTGTCATAACTCGATTCTGTAAGCATTTTCTCTCTTATATCTCTTGTGAATACATCTCCTACCTCTATATTACGTCTTTTGCATGTTCTGCCCCTCTCTTTTTATGATTTCTGAATGTATTGTCTGCTTTTCATACATCTGCTGTGAATGCACATATCTTATCATTTCTGTTTAGAATACATCTGTGAATCTGATATCTCTCGATGTGCTCTTGTTTGCATCTGAACTGTAGTTATCTTCTGAATATGATATATCTCCTATCGCTCCTTTTATATATTCAGAATATAACTGTTATAAGATTTATGTAAAGATACCAAGTGAAAATAGGCTGATTTATACCATTAGCTACAAGACTGCACCACAATGCATCATTAGTTTGTATGCGTGACTGCTGATTGAGTTGACCTGGGCCCCAACTTGTAGAAGCAGTACTTTTGCCAATAAATATTGGTTTGTGAAACCCATTGACCGAGGGGCTGCAATATAAGTTACATTTTCTATGTAGAGAGAGATGGAACAGATGGCTATTTCTTACCACGTTGCTGCTCTGTGACCTACATGGGGGTCATACGTTACGGAGATGAAATGAAGGATGACGTTATTGTCAAGTGGCCTTCAGTACATTGTGTGGATAATACATGATGTGTATAATACATGTGTATTATACATTCTCTGTATAATACATTATGTGTATAATACATTGTGTAACATACATTATATGTATAACACAATGTATCATGATTAATAATTCATCTGTACTATTGTCATGACATCATGATCACTCATAACTCTTCTGCATATATCCTATCTCTCATATCCCTTCTCTCTCCCTCTCTGTATTTGCTTGTTGCATTGCTGTGCCCCACAGCTCTCTGCTCATTCGTCAACGCGGCCCTTGAGGCAACGTCGGGACACCCCTGGGGCTCGACGGCAGGGATGGACTTCCGCCTCGGTGGCTCTGGTCGGGCAGTCACCAACTTGGGGCGTTCACCTTCTTCTGCGTTGTGGTGACAATGCCACGAGAAGGGACGATGGCCGTGTTCGAGACGAAGGACAGCCAAGAGGGGGATCGCACCCTTCAGTACGTCCACATTGGAGATGGAGCGATGGAATCAACTCGCCTGCAAGTGCTGGATGGATTATTACAGTGCAGGACAGTGACAGAGAGTGATGGCTTGGGAAGGCCTTCACCCAGCGATGGATTGATCACCGCTGATGATGATGAGCCGTGGCGGCTTTTAGTCAGCAGCACTATCGGCTGTCCAGCTCAAGTGATGTCTTCTCCTTGGTAGTGCCTTTCATTGGTTAGGCACCGTACGTGGTTCACGCGTGAACACGGACTGCAGCTTCGAGAGACAGGCTTCGTTGCAACACTGGGAGCGACATCGGCGCGCGATTGATTCAGAGAAACGTTACAACGGCAGCTGCACCACAACACAGACCGCTGTGGCCTTCAGTGTGATCATTATCGTGCGCGTGTTTGAGTGACCGTGGGCGTCTGGGTTACACTGCCTGGTCTGAAGTTGACCTGCAAGGACTTTGCACCTCAGTACACAACCCACGGCGGCACACAGGCAGCCGCGTGTCACTGACGAGAACAGCGCCGAGGTCAGCCACAGAGGCTGCCTCCCAGTGCACGTCACTCTGTCTATGTCTCTACTACTCAGCTGACTTTGTCTGCAGTACGGTTGGCTATGTATGATTAGCATGGGTAGCTATGTACGGTTTGATAAAAGTTCAACATACATACATACATGCAGTAAGGCATGTGGGTGTTGTAACAAGCAGGAAATTATGACAATTTTTTATTGTTAAAGTCTTGTTCCATGACCATATTCTAGAAACAAGCAACTTGCATAGTAGCAGTGCACAGACAGCCCAATCTGTGCATCGGCTCTCACTCTCAGCTCCGCTGACTGCCCTGCCCACCTCCCTGGTGAGGCTGCCGGGCTGCCTACTCAGAGGGCAGCAGGGGCTCAGAGGGCAGATCTGAGGGTGCTTGATCTGGGATGCGCAATGAATGGGGAAGCACGGCCCACCCACACTCAGCAAGCAGCTGTGGCACATTCGGAATGGACCACTCTTTTAATTATTTCCTCGTGCAGCAAGGGAATAAAGTGTGGTTTTGTGAAAGTCCTTATGTGCTGTGCAGTACATCAATGCACTTGTACACCAGCATGTGATAACTGAGTTGGGCCTGTGGATGGCTGGCAGGGTTATTGATTAACCGGACTTGTACATCAGTCACGTGGTTAATGGCAACTCGGTTGAGGATTGCTGTGTGTGACACCACGTGCTGTTGCATTTTACAGGTAAAGGACCCAAAGGTTGTTTTTGATCGTTATATAAATGTTCTAGACTTATTCTAGACTTCAAGCTTGGCTTTGAATTGCTAGTTTGTGATATATTCAATAGGAGGGGTTTTAGCACTGTGCACTGTAAAGGATGACGTACTGTAGTTAATACTTGTAATTCTCTAACCCTAATACTGTTTGTTCTATAATCATGCCCATGCACCCAGAGTATGACTACTTGCAATGCTATTACGAATAGAACACATGTACAGTAGTAAGTTGTACAGTGGTGACAAGTAGTCCGTATACTGTACACATACAGTACAGATAATGGGTGTAAGATACGATATAAGTGGATGGTATAGATAGACATACAGCTTAGGTTTAAAGTAATATTCGAACAGTGAAGTCCAAGGGTTATTGTCAAGATAAAGATGGTTTATCAGTAGTATAATTGGGTTTAAGAGAGACTGTTATTTATTAACCGGACTTGTACACCAGTCAGGTGGTTAATTGCGACTCGGTTGAGGATTGCTGTGTGTGACACAACGTGCTGTTGCATTTTACAGATTTACCACAATAAATGTGTTTGCCCTCGATTTGGAGCACCTGCCCACCTCCTTCATTTCGAGTGTCCAACACAGCCCCTCATGACGAAGGGCTCCAACATCCCACTGCTGTTCATGGTAAACCAACAATTGATACTCGACAAATGTGAAGCAGTTCACAGAGAGCAATTGAGAGGCATCATAGGAGGCGACAGTGCTGGGGCACGCCTCGTGGTGTGGAGAGGCACCCAGCAGCAGCAGCAGCACAGCGAGTGAGTGCATCGTCTGCAGCGCGTGGCTGCACTCACCCGCCTGCCTTGGTGGTGCAAGGTCGCCGCGCTCGGCACCAGGGGCCCGTGGCGCTCGTTGGCTCGGCTCACCACATCGCTCACCCGGTCGCACTCGTTCACCTCAACCGTGTAGACGCCACCGAAGGGCAGCAGCAGGAACACGCAGCCGGCCCTACGGCACACAGAGAGACGCGTGAGCAGCGTGCCACCGTGACGCACACAGAGATGGGAGCAGCGTCTCACCGGTACTCCCTTCCCCCACTCACTTTACCCACAGTGACCAGTGTGGTGAAGTATGGTCGCACAATCCCCATGACTGACACGGCATGTGGATTCCGTCATTCAGCTGCAGATTGGCAAAGTACGGTGCATGAGTGTTAATAAACCGGTGTCAATGGGCAATCTGAGCGCACAGCGCTTACGGCTTTTATACGACAGTCAACACGAGAGAGAACCCCGTGTCGAGACGCCTTCCTGTTGCCTTCATCTCCAATTCTACATCCTTTGTGGGACTCAGTCTTTATAAAGGGCCACCGCAGTTGACCTTCCAATTGACAATTGTTTCAGCAACCATCGAGTGATGATGGGCCGAGGTATGTGAGCTGGCTGCTGCAGTGCCACCCAGCCCAACATAAGCTACCAGGTAATAATTCATATTCACTACAATGGCTGATGTATTCACTTCATTATTATCGCATCAGACACACAGAGGAATGATGGGCTGCGTCAACCGTCATCGAGCACAGAGAGACGCCCATGGCTGAGCCAATGAGAAGGACTGCTGTGAATTTTATTTGTGCTTATTGAAGGGCTAGGGGGCTGAACTTTGCCACACATTCAGTCAAAACTACGCTTATAAAGTGTTTGTGTCGACTACCTGCTGTGACATATAGATCACGAGCAGGGACACTGACGAAGAGGATGGAACAAAAGGTCTAACATGCTCACAAGTGTTTTATTTTACCAGGTAAGCCCCACTGAGCTATGTAGCTCTTTTTCAGAAGTGACCTGGCCACGAATGATATCTCAACAAAGTGGCTTATCAGGTGGAAATTTATAGCAACCAACCCTGCAACGCATGTTTCTAAATGTGGAGGGAAAAGCAGAGGACCCGGAGAAAAATCCACGTGACCATGGGGAGAGCGTGCAAAATCCAAATATACAGGCGTTAGCATTGGGATCGAACCCACGACCTCCAGGCAAGGTAGTTAACATCTCACCACCAAATTCAAGGGCTTTGGTTTTTTGAAGTTCTATAATATAGCTGCATACAAGAGGGGCCTGAATTGGGCTGTTTGACCAACTCGTCTAATGAGAGTTTTAGTCTTTGGGAGGAAACCGGAGTAGACAGAGAAAACACTGAAATACAAGGGGATAATTCTCAGAGCTTCGCACAGATGGATTCAAAACAGTTTACTTGATTTGCTATCTCCTCGCCCCCATGCAGCTCGGACAATTTGTGAGTTTCACAAGCGTGCGTGATCCACCAACCCTCGCCTCCAAAGCCACGGATCTCAGACGTGCGCCAATAACTCTTTGTGTCCCAGCACTCGCTGACCACAAACCACCAACTTGGCTGCTGGCTGGCTGCCATGCTTATCGCTTGCGAGCAGCAAAGTGCTTGCTCAGTAATGTTACTTGGCTATTTAACATAGCCACATTCACTCAAATAGCTTCATTAATTATGAATGTCCTGCATGAAGTCAAAGACAAACATTTCAGAGTATCTACATGTACCCGTAATGAAACTGGCAACATGAGTTCGACTCCTAGCCATGATCAACGTCAGTGGTGATGTCTGGACTGGTCCTGCGTAAACATGCATCAACCCACACTGACCACGGCGGTAAAGAAAGTTCAAACAGCCGCCATGACCGGCACAACGTGGGGAGGCCTTCATCCAGCAGCAGTGACAAAGGGCCGTCTATTACCACCGCCACCACTACATATACTACGTGCACCGCAGTAAACTGCACGGTGCAGTGCTGGGGGCTGATTGACGTTAAAGAGATGATGCCTCTATGGACAGCCTGTCCCGTGGGGTTTATCGGCGTGTAGCCGATTGTTCATCACTGTGCGGGGTTTGGCGACTCTCTCCGACGTCTCCCCCACCGAGGGGATCCGCATGCCACTTCTCTGCGATGTGAACCGGGCCCCGTGTCCCCGGCGGCAGCGCGTCCGCGTAACCCGTGTCGGATTGCGATGATGCCCTGTGCCCTCGCCTTACCGTGGCTCGTGCCGCGCCGCGTCTGACATCATCCCTGCGTCGACACCCGCGCCGGCGAGCTCCATCTCCACTACGGAGCGAGGTGGTGGGGGGGTCCACATGGCCACGCGCCGCCTGCGAGACGAGCGGTGGCACGCGCAAGAAGTCGTCGCTGGAGAAGCCCCTTGGAGCCAAAGTGATACCTGAAATGAAGACTGGCGCTGCTGATATATTGCTGTCATGCATGGTAAGTCATGCTATGTATGTTGAACGTCTTTCGCGCTGTACGTAGCCAACCGTGCTAATCGAAGGTGCGGGGGAAGGACAATAAACTATACACAAAACACAGTTCTAAAGAAATGAGTTTTCAATCTAAATGTAAAAGTCACATCTCCAGCGGCTTACTAATATCGGAAGAGCGTTCCAGACTGCCGCAGAAGCACATCTGAAAGCGCGCGTTTCCCAGAGAGGAAATGACTCGGGCACCTGATGCAGGGCTCTCGTGAACACAACGCCTTTAATCCGTCTCTGCTAACTGTGGGTCTGCAGATATTGACATCTTCAGGGCAGGCATCCTGATGGCTGAGTCGCACTTCTCACAATGTTCGTTTGGCTGTTCCCCGTGCAACACTGAGCGGGGCACGGTGGGGCACGCTTGTAACCACACGGAGCGTGGGAGGAGGCCAGGGTTGGTGCATTACGGAAATAATTATTAAACTCCCAAAACCCCTGCGCCGTAAGAGATAGTGCAGCAAATGGGTTCATGAACCAATCCGTGCAGACCTGCGAGTGTTACCGGCTGTATGCGTTGGGGTCACTCGGGGTGTTTCGAAGCCAAACCACTCCCAAGAAGGGAATTTTCCAATCACCCTATGCAGGACTCTCCTGAAAAAATAATCTTGAGACTCAACTTTTCATGGACAAAGTACATTATTTATTGTTGTCTTTTCATGTCCTAACAGTCAGTAGCTTAGGCCTATAAGACAATGTTAGAATGCACTGTATATTCTGTTGGAAAACACCATGTGTAATAACACAATGCTATATTACAATGCACTGTATAATCTGTTAGAATACACCATGTGTAATAACACAATGCTGTATTAGAATACACTGTATAATCTGTTAGAAAACACTGTGCAATAACACAATGCTATATTACAATACACTGAATAAACTGTTAGAAAACACCATGTGTAATAATACAATGCTATATCACAATACACTGTATAATCCGTTAGACAACACCATGTGTAATAACACAATGCTATATTACAATACACTGTATAATGTTAGACAACACCGTGTGTAATAACACAATGCTATATTACAATACACTCTATAATCTGTTAGACAACACCATGTGTAATAACACAATGCTATATTACAATACACTGTATAATCTGTTAGAAAACACCATGTCCATTAGCACAATGCTATATTACAATACACTCTATAATCTGTTAGACAACACCATGTGTAATAACACAATGCTATATTACAATACACTGTATAATCTGTTAGAAAATACCATGTGCATTAGCACAATGCTATATTACAATACACTGTAAAATGTTAGACAACACCATGTGTAATAACACAATGCTATATTACAATACACTCTATAATCTGTTAGAAAATACCATGTGTAATAACACATTGCTATATTACAATACACTCTATAATCTGTTAGACAACACCATGTGTAATAACACAATGCTATATTACAATACACTCTATAATCTGTTAGACAACACCATGTGTAATAACACATTGCTATATTACAATACACTCTATAATCTGTTAGACAACACCATGTGTAATAACACATTGCTATATTACAATACACTCTATAATCTGTTAGACAACACCATGTGTAATAACACATTGCTATATTACAATACACTCTATAATCTGTTAGACAACACCATGTGTAATAACACAATGCTATATTACAATACACTCTATAATCTGTTAGACAACACCATGTGTAATAACACAATGCTATATTACTATACACTCTATAATCTGTTAGACAACACCATGTGTAATAACACAATGCTATATTACAATACACTCTATAATCTGTTAGACAACACCATGTGTAATAACACAATGCTATATTACAATACACTCTATAATCTGTTAGACAACACCATGTGTAATAACACAATGCTATATTACAATACACTCTATAATCTGTTAGACAACACCATGTGTAATAACACAATGCTATATTACAATACACTCTATAATCTGTTAGACAACACCATGTGTAATAACACAATGCTATATTACAATACACTCTATAATCTGTTAGACAACACCATGTGTAATAACACAATGCTATATTACAATACACTCTATAATCTTCCCCTGCACTGCCGTGAACTTTACGGCAGAAGTCGCGAGGCTCGACCCCCACACTCAGCGCCTCTCCGCGCAAGTGCCTAGACCGCGGCAAGGTAAAAGGTATAAACAACGAGCCTACCTTTACCCTACCTTACCACAATACAATCACTCTACCCTTACCTTTCACCCTTACCCCATACAAATTACCCGATTCACAGGGTAATTACTGGGGTACTACACATGAAAAAGGTTTGTAACAGGAAAATGCTAGGTAGAGCGTTTATTCACATAGAATGATAGAATACTCTCAATTATTTCAATTTTAAATGGAGGCCACGGACTACGCCACGCCACTTCATGCTACCTTTACCTTACCCCTTGGCATAGTCGATACCTTTACCCTTTTACCCGGTAAAAGGGGTAAATTGCCTTACCTTGCCGAGGCGGCAGTGCCAGCGTCGCGACTGTCCGCAACAAGCGACGCCTCGCGCGAGTTCTTAGCTCAGCTGACAGCCCGGCGGGGTTGGGGACTGCCGCCCCTGAAGCAGCCCACGAGGCGTGCGCAGTGCGATGTGGCTGCTGCTGCTACTGCCTTGTAGGGCCCAGCCGTGGGAAGGAGATGAGCCGCGAGGCTGCCGTAGTCGGCACCGCGCCCCGCGTCTGTGGCGGTGCGCGCCTCTCCAGGAAGCCGCTCGGCGCGCCGCGCGGTCGCCGTCTCCGATTGCGCAACAGCGCCGGGCAGCAGCGGCCCGCGCCTCACGGCGTGGGAGGGAGAGAGGGAGGGGGCTGCCCCTGTAGAGCCGTCACACAGTCACTGCAGAGGCTCAGACACGACGTGCAGCAGCAGATGGCGCGTTTGTTTGGTGCATGCAAACGAACCTCCAGGACGGCCTGCGATGCGAACCTCCGCACCGATCCACCTTGTTAATCCCTGTGTAGTGCCTATTTATACACGGGTACTCCCTTGCTATTCACTGTCTACGCGTTGCTAATCCCTGTGTAGTGCCTATTTATACACGGGCACTGCCTTGCTAGTCACTGTCTACGCGTTGATAATCCCTGTGTAGTGTCTATAAAGACGAATGTTTCTCCTTGCTAGTCACTGTGTACTTTTAAATACTGTAGCTGTATAGTGTCTATGTAGTTACGTGTAATCGCATGATTATCGCTGTGTACGCCTTGTTAATACCTGTGGAGTTTCGATGTAGATGCGTTTGCTCCTTTGCTACTTACGAGCTGTCTACTCCTGGTTAATCCCCGTGTAATTATTATCATTAAATAATAAGATTGCATGCATACGGTGCTACACATTGCATGGGTGTGAGAAGCGTGGTGCTTGACAGGGTGGCTTTTTTGCGAGAGTCCTCAACTCACCAATGGGCGGTTGAGAGTCCTCATCCGGGTCAGGTGTTGCCTCATCACCCTCCAAGGTCGATAAAATCGCTATCACGTGGTAGAAAGCCAACAGTGGTCGTCTTTGGATAGACTATGGCCATGGTAATGATGTGGGATTCCCGCTGCTGCTGCTACTCACAGTTGCTGTTGTAGAGGAGCAGCACTTAGATTCAACAAGAAGACCCCGACTATTTAGTTTCAATTTGTGCTTTCGTGTTATTGCATGCACACAGAAGCTTCAGTTGGACCCAAACAATAATTGCAAGTGACCGCACAACTTATCTATATGAGGTCACTTGCCACGGAGTGAGCTTAGATACAGTAGACATTAATTCCTGTCTTTGCCCAGCTACAATTGACCAAGTAAAGGGCATTGGTGTAATGCGGACATTTTGAGATGTTTAAACCTGTGGCAAGGTTCACATTTCCCATGTCTGATTATGAGATTTATTTTCCTTTGCAGTACGTTTTGTCAGTCCATGCTACCGGCTTCCATATCCGATCCCTCACCTTGTAAGACCAGACTTAGGGCAACATACTGCAGGTGGCAGCATTGTCCTTTACAGCCGCGTGATTGATGGCTTGCGTGATGACTACTTTCATGACTCAATTTTTTTTATAATTATTTATTCACGTAAACATTTACAGTCTCAGCCTGCTCCTGTACCACGACAAAACAATGGTAGGAGACAGGAAACAGAGCTACAAGGCAGGACTAGAGCACCAGAGCTGGACCATGTCAGACAGTCACCAAGCTAAAGTGATTATTCTAATTTCAAGATGGGTCATCAGTCATGCATGATCACTGCTGGATGAAGGCCTCCCTAATCCGTGACCATCTCTCATTGTCTTTCAATGCAACAATCCATTTAGGTCCTGCACACAATCCAACATCCTTGCTCCATCTCCACGATGGACGTTTTCCCATGCATTTTCCAGCCAGCATCTTTTCCACTGATTTGTCCTGCCCAATCCACGCTATGTTCTTATATTCTCGAATACACATGGCCCTCTTCCTGTCTCTTCATTCATTATTTTTAAATGCCTATCTCCATGCTTTCTCAATTTTCAGCATGAGATCAAATCTTCAATAACTGCCCTAGGTATTCAAACTCGAATGGGTTTTTCAGATGTATTCCTCTGTTTACCTAAATTGTACAAACTGAGTTCAGGAAAGGTTTCTCTCCCATCGATCACATACATACTATTGATTAGATTCTGGGACAGAATACTTATCGTCAAATACATTATTAAAATGGAACGTAAGTCAAATGAATTACGAAAATAACCAAATACATATTGAACAGGCACGCTATCATCAATGGATTAAGGCGGATGCCTAAGAATTTGCAGATAAACCGCGTTATGGATTAACTCGAGATGGCAACATCACAGCAATGAATACATCGTCTTTAGCACGGTATGCCCACTCAAACTTTACAACGTTCATATAAAAAGTGCACTTGCCACATACACTGAACGCGTCACACATTTAACAACTCATTTAAAGTAAACCCACTTAAACGTTTGTCACAAGGACATTAGGTGGAGAGGTAATAACGCGACATCACGAGATGAGGAAATGTTCGTGGTCTCCTTGGTGTTGCATGTGGACTGTGGTGGGCCCCTATCCTCACCCCTCTCACGTGTATCTGTAATAAACCGTATGCTGAACGGGGATGTGTGCTGAGAAAACGAGTTGTGTTCCAGCACCAGGTGCACGACTGACTGTGAACACATTATGGGGCCAATAACCTGAGAGACCTTATATTAAAAGTTCTCAACTTATCTCTCACAGCACATCCAAAGTTACCTGGTTGTCAATTCATGTTGAGATCACATCGCAGACTAGTCCTTGCCCATAACTCTATTATTATTTCCCATGCAACGGCCCAAATTGTCTAAAATATATAAGGAAGTATGTTAAAGGCTAGACTAAAGGGATTGTCATACACAAGGAAATAAACATTGCAATGTATATATTTGGGTGAAAATGTATTTATTTTAAATGTTATTGGTAAATAAAATGAGCAGAAGCACAATCTTTTTCTACAATATTCTTCCAGACTATGATACAGACGCAAAATTACAAATATTTGTTCAATCACCAAAGGTCAAAACTCTCCCTGTGCCGCCGGATCCCTTGAGCACCGTAAAGAACCTCAAATAGGATCCCAAGCTCCTCTCTTCCCCTGGAACTTCTAAAATTTCCCCAATCTCCAGAAGCCTTGCCACTTCTCTTATCAAGGCTTGCTTCCTGATGAATCCAGGACTCTGCCCACACGGTGCATGGTACTTGCCCTATGAATTATAGAACATGTCCTCACTTCATGGGCCCCAGAACCCAGATTTAACTAGCAGCCCCAACCTCTTTTGGAGGTGACCGTCTGTACGTCCCTCACAGCCAGCCAGCCAGCAAAACTTTTATTCTTACATAGAACCATATCTCTCTCCACCGTTCAGGTGCCTTCTCTGTACTGTAATCCACAATGTATCTAGATTTCTCACGTTGTCTCTGTCTATCAGCTTCTCTCTTCCCCTGCCCCCTCTTCTACCACTCCCTCAATTATTTTCCTCCCTCCACTGTCTCACCCACTTCCCTCCCCGCTCTCTTTATCCTACCTTTCTCACTCTTCCTCACCTCTCATCGTCGCTCTTCTCATTCTCACCTCTCCAATTCCCATCTCAATGTCTCTTTCCTCTCCCTAATCCTCACTCCCACTGCTTGTTGCTTTGCCTCTCTTTCCGTTTCACGCCCTTTCACGCTCTCCCCACTCCTCTCCATCTCTTCCTCCTCTGTTCCCCTCCCGCGCCTCCCTCTGCTATCGCCTTGCACGAGACACGTGGCTGGGGTGGAGGGTGAGTGGGGAGCGGCACGACATTCTTTGTGAATAAAAAAATGTACACCATGCTCCATGTACAGGCTACGTGATGCGTTCACTCTTTAATTTATTTCGATTATTGAAAACGCCTTCGCCACAGGTAGATGACTATATTGTTGAAATTACAGCCAAAACTCATGCGTGAGTATGAGGTCAAAATTGGTCGACAGCCAAGTAACGTTAGACTCGCCGTGACAGACGAGATCTGTCAGGAGTGGCATAATGCATTTGCACAGGGCGTATAACTCACCTCTGTGCCTGGGTTCTAGTACCCATACACCTGTACGCAGGTACATGAGATAGTCCATAGTGCTACACTATGTTCGTGTACCCCCGGATATCTATAAAACTCTATTCAGGTATTTTTTTTATTTAAATCTTTCATGACTGCAGGGATTCATATTCTTGCTTCTTTCGGTAAAGTCACGTAGAAGGGGAAAAAATAATAATAAAAATATAAAACAATAAATATTCTCACGACGTTTCGACTGCAACACAAGCAGTCATCACACCTGATGATTTTCACACCTGATGATTTCTTGTGTTGCAGTCGAAACGTCGTGAGAATTTTATTGTTTTATATTTTTATTATTTTATTGTTTCCCTTCTACGAGACTTTACGAAAGAACCAAGCATATCTATTCAGGTACATACAAAAGTTAAAAGCATTACGCTGGGTATCCGTGCTCACACATTTAGATAAATTGATTCGGGAGAGGTCATGCCCACACGCACTGTGCTGTATCTGGTCGGACTGGCAGGTCGGCTGTGTGGGCCGGGCTTCTCAGGAGCAGGCGAGGTAACAACACCACGACTGTCGGAAAGCCCCGAGCTTACCTGCGCACCCGGCATCCGGATCAAGGGACTGTTTGTAACGCCTTACTTTGACCCTCAGAGCCAGTCGTGGTGTTGTAAAGAACACAAGCTCGTGGGCACTCCGGCCTCGTGTTGAATAAGTTCACGTCCTGCATTGGCAAACACAAAATCCCACCGATATAGAATTAAATAAATCAGTCATGTTGGTCTGATTGGAGCGTCTCACCCAATTGTTTGTAGCCTCATCTCAGCAGCAGTGTTACCACTCTAGGAATGTGGAATTTCCACTGCTGGCTCATGGCCACAAATGAAAATCCATGCCATCGCAGTGCTCGAATAGAGAGGCAATTTGACTTTGGCTACTTGGTCTTGAGAGTTTCAACTGCATACCAAGGAACCTAAATCTGTCTTGGGCCTTGATGACTCATGGCGACGCAAATACCCCGAAACTCGCTCTCAAGATTTTCGTAATGTTTATAGTGTTAATTAAGTCTGTAATGTTCGAGCATGACAAACGCATGCACTTTACGATGTGTGCACAATGGTACGAGTAAATGAGCTTGCGAGATAAACTTTAATTGTTTCTTATTTATACAGGATATCCACAATGAGCCGTAAAACTCTTTTTTTCAGAAGGGTACTGCATTGGATTTTTATTTTAAGATGTTTAGGAAATTAACGATGAGTTTTTATACAAATAGGAAGACACCAGAGCATCAGGAGAAAAGCCACACGCACCAGAGGGCAACACTCTATCCCTGTACAGATGGAAAGAGATGGCGGTTAATCCACTTGCTGTAACGCCTTCTCCTGGCGAGCCAGGGTATGGCACCTCGACGCCCATGGGAAGGGAGTTTCACGACACTTGTTTGATCCACCAACCCTTACCTCCTCAGTGCTAGATTACAGGCTGTCTAACTAAGATGTCCATCATCACCATGACAGAGACACTCGGCTACATGACAGTATCTTACATCAATATTTGTCATCCACTTTAATAATCGTGGATCATTTTTTTATAGGATAATATTTCTATCTTTATTTTTAAAACTGTGCACGTCGAGTTCCAGAAATTGTAGTAAATTAAAATATTTGATTCATGAAAGCAGCCCAAACTCAACAGCGAACCGTGGTGCAGTCTTAGAGTAGCCACATCGCATGGCTCTGTCGAGCCCACTCAAGGGGTTGTGGCGGTATCACATCGAGCCATTGGGTGACGCTCGTCAGCGCACATTCATGCGAGTTCAATTCCAATCCACGGCTACCGTGAGTGGCGTGTGATATCTAAACCATCCTGAGGTGTCTCCTTCACAAACCGCACTGACCAGCGCGATGAAGTATAGTCAAACTCCCTACGACCACATGGCATGGGGAAGCCTTCATCCAGCAGTGGAACATGCAGATAAGACTGTGTATCTCTACCCAAAGACAAAGAT